CTTACAATGTTGGTACACGCCTCAGCTAACATTGGAAGCGTGGTTACATCCTATTCTGACAAGCAGGTATCTGGACAGTCTTATGGTTGTGATGCAGGGCACACTTTTTTTTTTTTTTTTTTCCCCGACCATTTCTCGTGCCCAAATCTCTCCCTGCGTTGGATTTTCTTGTATCATCTCCGTCCCAGAGTCTTTCCTTGAGTTGGCAGCTCCCTTTATGTTGAAGTCGGTCTTCGCCTTGTCTCACCGCTTTAGTTGGCTCATGCTCGTTCCTGACGATCCCATAGTAGCTCACTTGCAGCCAGGAGGTCTGCACAGTATTCCCTACCCCTCCTCACCTACTCTGTCCTTCCTCTCTGACACAAGTATGACCCCTTATCTGGTCCCCTTACCTTGCTCTTGAAGGACATTTATTTTCCACCAAAACCAATGACATTTTTTTTTCCTTTTCTTTTTAGATAGCAAACCCAGCGCCGGGCCAGCGGCATTGATTGTTTTCCCGAAGGGGAAGGATAAACCGCATGCATCTAACAAATGTAAGCAATGTACGGATTGCCCTTGTGGAGTTTCGTGATTGATTTGCACTTTCTGTGGTCCCACACAGGTCTAATCTTCCAATTGCAGGATGGACCGGGCGTTCCAGCCCACCGCAGAAATTGTAGGAAAATTTGCAGCCGTGGGTTGGATGTCCGTGCCGTCCTCAGGAGGTACACCCAGTAGGGCAGAGTTGGGCGCCGGGTGCCCAGAGCCGCACCCACCTGCACCCACCTGACCCACAAGGTGATGGGGTCGGGTCTGGGTCTACCTATGCCCTCTCACAAATGGTTAACGGGGACCCCCATTTTCAGGCCCTGGGTAACGAGTCCAAACCTGAAATTAGGGTTTCGGGGTCAAATTTTATGTTCTTCCATTTTATTTTTTTTGGCCTGTTCTTGTTTTGGTTCAAGGTTTGTGTGTGCCAAATTTTATGTTCTTCAATTTTTTTTTTTTTGGCCCGTTCTTGTTTTGGTTCAAGGTTTGTGTGTGCCAAATTTTGTGTCATTTGGAGAATTGGAATTTCCTCTGTTAAGATTTCTGAAATTTCTCAAGATTTCTGAAATTGAGATGTTGGTGAAATTTCATGAAAATGCACTTTTGCCTTGCTGTTTTATATGTTTTTAATTATATTTTATTGGATTTTGTTTTGCAGTTAGTTAGTATGGTCTCCACTCTACGAATTGGTGGCAAGTTTGATTAAAATGACCCTTTGTTTTTCTTATAAATGGCATGGCAAGTGGTCTGAAAATTAGGGTCTCCGTTAACCTTCTCTCAGCTGGCGGGTCTTTCTGGGTGACGGCACTGACGGGTGGGTCAAGATTTGGTCTGTGTCACGCAAGGAGTGGGTGGCAGGTGGGTGATGGTTTGGCCTGGGTCACCCGGCCCGCAGACCCAGGAGCACCCGAAAAATATGCCCCCCCTCCCCTCCCCCCCCCAGCAAACTAGGCCTTGGGTCCAGCTGCACCGCGCATAGCGCCTGAGGCTTAGAGACAGAGAAAATGGGCCTGCGTCCAGTCACCCAGGCCACAAAAGAAGAACGTCGGGGCAAGCGCACTCCAGCAGTCCAACTGCTCCAGCGTGGCTGTGTTTCTTTTAAACAATGAGGGAACGGATCTAGCTCAGTAGGAGGCTAGGTTCTCTCCGTTTGACTTTGAACTTTGCTGCCACCTTGACGCTTCTCAAATTTGCACCCCTGCCCCCAGCTGACCATTGAACAACGGCGTTATGCTGGCAGGCAGCGCCAAGTGGAGAACTGGTGGCACTGGTGGGCTAGGTGGTGTACGACATGGGCGCTGGGCAGGGCTGCAGCAGCACACACACACACACACACACACACACACACACACACACACACAGAGAGAGAGAGAGAGAGAGAGAGAGAGAGAGAGAGAGAGAGAGAG